GCTTGGTTTGTACCAAAGACGGCATTTTTAAAGCACACGTTTTCTGTCGAGACAAGGTAACAAAATACCTTCAGTGAAGTTACGTACAAGACATAGCCAGAGGATCTCAAATTATGGCATGAAAGTACAATCCAGGTCCATACACATACCCATGTTTCACGCCTGTGTAAACTTTTGACGAAAAGTGTGTCTATAGGTGACCTTGTGCTAGATCCGAATGTATCATGCAGAGGCGACTGGCCTCGGAAATCCGACGTTTTGAACAGTGTCAACCTACTTCGTCCAGAAAACAACGAATATCTATCCCTGGCCCAAACCTATTATTTTACACGCTGCGTGCAGCGGAACTGTCTGCTAGAATCCTGAAAGAACTCCTCTAGATATGTACAGTATGAAGGTGACGACTCACCAAGCGCAACACCTTTCCATATTTTTAATACCCATTCGATCATGCGGAATTAGTGTAGACAACACAGAGACAATTTGACTGTGCATCTTACCTTGAATGCTTAGCATCTGACCGAGCTTGAGAGCGGCACCGCGCATACGACAGAGAGTATCCACGATACGTTCCAAATTAGCATCCGTAAGGAATGGGTTGTTGATCTCGCCAGCTAAAGTGGGTGAGTCTGTAAACATTCAACACAAATACAACCAATATACACATACCACCATAACCAATTTTCCTCTTTGTCCATTCGGTGGCTGCGCCAAGACCCAGTCCGATAGCCAGATCTGAAAAATAGTACATCTAACAGAGTGACTTACTTCCGAATCCAGCAATCCGACCAATACGAGAAGAGGGGACACGCCGCGCTTTAGCCGAACTCAGTTGCTGAAATGAGAGTTTAGTTGCGCAAAAGTGACCGGTTACCCGGGAGGCCGTGGGTGTTTCAATGGTTTCACTCATAGGACGCGGAGTGGGTATAGTGGCCGTAGGATTTCTCACTGTGTTTGACATAGTAAGGTTGGATAATTTGGGGTCAACGGATAAGGGTGGGATTGCAGATGACTCATCAAAATCTGTTTTCCCGGATGGTACTTGACTGTTGACTGGCAAGTCAGGGTCAGGAATGCATCCGGAAGAGGAACGACATGACTGCAGTAGTCTTCGCAAAAGGATCACATTTTGTTTGCCCATCAGTTGAGCTCTGTCCAATAAATAGACGCAAAGCTTATATACGTCAGAAGGAGATATTGTAAACTGGCTGGAACCAAGCTCGCGCAGACTCTCGCGAACAGTAGAGTGCTGCCAATAATAAGCTGTCTCATTCATCTGATCCTTGACGGAAGCACGCAAAATCATCCTGAGTCCTCCAAAGACCCCTGATGCGTCACGAAGACGGTTCTGCATGAGTTATTTGGCCTGATAAATTTGGCAACGGTTCAGTGAACTTCAGGATCCTCACAGTAAGGCCAAACGACCCTATAATACAATGGTACAGTTGTCTATTATGTCAAACCGAAACCGAGTTAGAAGCTGTTGAGCTAAACCGTGTGCTATATAAAAACAATACCACCCATAAATGTGAAACCACCGACTTCGTCACGTCAAGTCTTCACATATCACCTATGCAAGCATCAAAAACCAGAAAGCGAATAACTACGCATAACACCTGACGTGCATGAAGAGTGGATGAACCAGAACACGTTCAGCTGTTGCACCCTTTCGGTGCCTAGCTGCCATGCCAACGGAAGAAGGCACGAGGGGTGAGATACAGCCAGGCCACCCAAGTCTGGATAGGAGTAGTCAAGATGATGAGGTTGTCTTCAAACCACGGACCTTCTGGTCCGTAAGTTGGCGTCTTAACCACTGAATCATCTCGATCTGATGAACTAGAACACCAAAAGGTAAAGTACAAAGCTCTTACTATGAAACGGTAGACCATTCCAACGGTACAGTAGTCCTTGCGAACAAAGGTTAATCACAGGGAACAGCCCGACCAGTCTCGATTAAAGGCGGTCTCTCAAGGGGGATATCTTCTGTCCAGCATGCGAGGGAATAATGGTTTTGGCGACAATACAGTGATTCACTGATGGTGAATCTTCTTTATCGGGCCCACAATATTACAAATATCCCTTTATGAAGACAAGCTTTCTGGTCTATGTACGCTGCCGCAATACAGGAGTCAGAAAAACTACGTTAGAAAACCACTACCTTAAACTAGAATCGCACCATAGGCCCTCACGTGAGTCCAAACTTATGTACAACCTAAAAGTAGACCGTATAACTCCACTACGGATGCTCCTTCCAGGGAGGGACAACTCGAGCATCGAGGCTGTCTACAACTATGCTAATTCCACAATGATATTAGACATTTGCCGGATGACGTAAGTGGTGTGCCTGGTGTGGCACCACCAAGCGATACCATAATGTGGGCTTCGGTATTATAACGATATTCACAGGTTGAATTAAATTTTACCTGCCCACTTCTGGAGCCATCACTCTCGGAAGAGACCGACCATCAAAAAGTCACACGAATTAGTCTATGAAACGTAATCAGGTAGTGATCCTTACTGAGAGATGGCCTTTCAGGAGTCATCAGGTTTAAAGTTGAGACTGTATTCGTAATGCGGAAAGAATACTGACGAAGTGGAATGGAACACCTCGACGGTGATCCTCATATTCAAAAAAGGTGCAAGAACTTCGTGCGAAAACCAACGGGGCGTCAGTCTAGTGACCTTAACTTCCAAGATGCTCTCTGGTTGATCCATCAATGGGAGCTAGATTCACAATAAGGATAGGTTACAACTTGACCGGGGTTGCATCGATCGTATCTTCACCTTGCGACAAGTGTCAGAGCTGCGCCGCCCCGTTCGACCGCTAACAAGGAACGTCGTTCTCGACCTCGAAAATACTTTTACCTCCGTTGGTCTTTGAAAACTGTGACAGTGTCTGGGACTGAAGAATGTCCCTTCCAAATCCCTCCTGGGGCACGTCTACACCAAATTCTCTCCTGAATTCACCTCATCTAATGGTACTAGGAAAGGGGGTCACCTGTTCCGCTTCCTCCTTAACTCCTTTATCGATTTTCTTCTGCGGTCTTGAAACCTCGGGTAACAAAATAGTACCAGAGCATTCGCTCACGGACATTGAGTACGCCGACACTAATACTCTATCCTTTGAAATTGCAAATATTTTTAATAACGAAAATAACTGTGCCACACAGTTCGATATGTGCTCCGCACGCGTGGTACTGCAGTGGGGTCAAACCCAAATCTCATGCTGGCAAATGAAACAATCGATGTGTTCAATACGTTTGCCTATCTTGGAAGCTCCACTGATCCCAGAGGACTTGCGAAAAACGAGATCATTTCCTTAATTGAGTCTACAACAAGACGACCATGGAGCTGACCCGCAATAACGCCAAGTCTACCAACATGAACTTCGATAATCCCAGCAAACATCATCGTCAACACCTACACCACATCAGTCTTCAAACAGTGAGGCTTTCGTGCCGTACAACCATAAGTTATTCGAAAGATATGTTGTAAAGAAAAGAGTAAAAGCAAAGGGGAAAGGAAGTTAGCCCTAGAATGTTAGTATCATTAGGAACTGTCCACACCTCCAAGCACTCACTCATACATTTGGATAGAAAAAGTTGTCTAAGACGCCTCAGTTCCGCAGCTCTAATAGGCCAGTTCTCACAGTTGTACAGCAAAACAGCCTGTACTGTAGCCTGATGCACACGTTCCTTGAGATAAATGATATGCAGCTTTGCCACCAGAGCTGTATCAAGTTAGCACTTAACTGCAAACGGATCTAACACAATTTCTACGATGCGTAAAACTCTAGACGACCTCCAGCGCCTCCCCTCAGATTGTCAGGGACGTAGTACGTAATTGTATGTCCGAGAGCATGCAATTGCGGCAACTGGTATGCGGTCCTCAACCAAGTCTTTGGTCCGAAAGCCCGTTGCAATGCACAAATGGTGGCATCTTACTTGTGATTCACTCCCAGAAGTAGAACACAAATCAACCGAGGACACTATCAAGTGTAGAAGCAGAGGTCTCCTGCAATAAATTATTAAAATTGTCCCATGCTATTTTCTTGCTTGCACTGACAGCCCATCTTTCCTTGGTTTATGAGCTTCAAACGTGTAACTCGTTTTTTTCTTGGCGTGTGCACAAATACAATTTGAACGCGCACGCTTCCTCGCTCGCGCATAACCAACCAATCAGAATGATGACTTGTGCATGAGTCGTATGCCGCGAAAAAGCTAAGGTTCACAGGTGTTTCATCCTTGAACCCTGTGATTGGCTTATTAGGGAAGTTGAATCAGGCCATCTGTTTCCGATTGGCTGCTCGAATGTACATTTAATATAAGGAATCCTGAGCACAGAATCACACAGTTCTGGATGTGATTATTCCGTAGGAATAGGGCCTTATCGCACACTTAGTATGTGTGATGGGATTACAGAAATCCCCGGTAGAAGTGCTGGAGTAGTGCATTGTCATGCCAGATTATCACAGCAGGACTGTAGTGTCTGTAATCCGTTGTCACATTTATTTACCATTTTCCCGGAACTTTAACTGCATTTTGCAGCTGTTGTACATATTTTTTGACGTTTGTTTTATTGTACCAATAATTACATCAAGAGGAAAATGGCACTAACACACATGTTTTCGGCGCGACTTCCTGACTTCTTGCTGAATCAGTGGATTTATGCTTCGTTGAACTGTTTGCTGATTTGATCTGTGTTTGTGTGAACTGTTGAACGTCACATTAACTCCCTGTGACACTTTTTCAGCTGCAAATAACTTTCCTATCGTGGAATATAGTGCTCACATGCGGATCATTAGTGGAAAATTTCTACAAGTGTATATTGTATTCACAGCCGTTTACAGTATAGGAATCAGTACAGTGGACTACTGGATCTACGCATTCGTGAGTCCTTATCCATTGCTTATTCTTTTCTTATTGTGATTTTGTTACGTTTCTCGTCTATTTGATCCAACACGCTAATAGGATTCTAAGCCCGCTACAGGACCATTGACCTTCAAACCTATCTAGTATTATAAAACTGTTGATCAGTTGAATAATTCTAGCTGTTCATTTGTACCCACACCAGTAGGTATCAAGTTTACTCCGGGACTTAGATAACATGCCTGTCGATTGCAGCAATTGTTTGCATAGGCCCTGAACTTGCTGGAACCAAAGGCAGTTGTTTGCGCCAAGTTTCTGTTGACTTCCACTGATTTCATTGCTCAGGGCAGACTGTCTGCTCAAGTTCTCTGCCAGTAATTTGCTCCCTCAGTAATATGCTCCGTAACACAATCATAGAACTATAGTTCTGCAGCTAAAATATTGGTCGGAAGATACTGAGTACGATTGTTTTGTTTTGCACGATTAAATGTCAGTTACGAGTGCTACCCAAACTAACATTTATAGAACCATCCGAGAACATCTTCTAGTCTGGCGCTCTAGAAAAACTGATTGCTTTTTTAAACCCACTTAAAAATGAGCGCGTAGATACTGAACAAATTGGTAATTGATCAGGTGGCTGTTGATCTGTTCGCCGAGCTTGGCAATTGATTTGCAAACGTTTCGTCACCATTCGAGGAGACATCTTCAGTGCGCTGTTGGTTGGGTAGTTCCTCTCTTCGTGCCTGCGTTTATATAGTCTACAAAGAGCAGCCTTTGCGCTGTAACCTGGATTCTGATTGGCCCGTTCTTGATCTGTATTGCGTCGTGGTCGGCTTACTGTTGGTTTATGGCGTGCCCCCTATTTTTAGTGGCCTGCTGTTCTATTGATTTCTTCTTTGAGTCGTTGTCCGGCCTCGGGTTCCGTGGTTCTGGATTTCCTTTGTCCTCAGAGGCTGGTAGGCAGGATCAATGTCAGTGTGCCTGTTTATTGCTCCACAAGTGGAGTACCACGCCTCCATGAACTCGCGTTCTTACTTTGTTCTTGCTTGGCCCAGTATTCTGACGTTATTCCAATCGAAATGGTGTCCTTCCCCATCTTCGTGTGCAGAGATGAGAGAGAGTTGGTCATGTCTCTTGGTGGCGAGCTTATGTTCGGTGATTCTGGTTGACAGTTTCCTCCCTGTTTGTCCCACGTAGTGTTTTTAACAATCATTGCATTGAATTTTGTAGATTACATTTGTCTTTTCCATTGCATTAAGTGTCCCCTTTGGTTTTGATAGTACTCTTCGCAGCGTGTCAGTCGGTCTGTGGGCCACTTTTATGGCATGCTGTTGTAATATCCTGGCGGTCATCTCCGAAATGTTTTTGATATATGGTAATGTGATTGTTTTGCTTGTGTTTCTGGTTGTCGCGTTGGTTGAATTGCATTTTCTCAGAGATCTCCAGACGAAATTCCTTGGGTAACCGTTCCTTTGAAACATTCTGTATAGGCGTTTCTCTTCTTTTACTTTAGATTCTACTGTGTTGCATTGTGTTTCAGTTCGCTTGCATAGTGTCCGGATGCAGCTCTCTTTGTGGTAGTTTGGGTGGTTGCTGTGGTAGCTCAGACTTTAATCCGTATGCGTAGCTTTTCTGTAGACTACCGTTTGCATTTGTCCGTTCGGCAACCTTGTGACGAGGACATCTAAAACCGCCAGCTTGTTGTTGTTTTCTTCTTCCATCGTGAACTTGATGTCATCGGAGACACTGTTAATCAATTGGATTGCTCGTTGTAGTTCTCTCTTCTTGATGATGACAAAAGTGTCGTCTACATAACGTACCCAGAGCTTCGGGTTGATGTCCGGCAACACGGTCCTCTCCAGTTTTTGCATTGCGATCTCGGCGATGAATCCCGAAATTGGGGAACCCATTGACGCTCCTTTCAATTGTTCGCAGTATTCACCGTTGAATTAGAAGTACGTGGTCAAACAGAGGCTGAGCAATTCACATATGTCTTCCTTCCTTAGAGGTCCACTGGGAGGTCCATGACTGTCCAGTAGTTCAGCGA